TTAGAATTCTCAAAAAAAAAAAAGGTTTGAATTCCCAAAAAAAATGCAATAGGCTTCTTGGAGAAGCTTGAGAAAGTTAACGGAAAGATAACGGAGAAATGGACGGAAGTGACGGATCGTAACAGCCCAACAAACGAAAGTTACAAAAAAGGACTATTTTCTTCCATTCTTATAGGTGAGGGGCTAAAACCGTTATGTTATAAGGTGAGGGGCCAAAACCGTCCAACTTATCAAGGTAAGGGGCTATTCTTAGGCTTTTGCCGATTAGTACCTGATAGCTGTTATTGATCAACTTAATTGTATAACTGGAACACAATTGAAATTTGATTTATTTATTGTTCCAAACATACTGAATAAATTGTATTTTGTGCATGCCACTGATCTTTGATTTGTTGTAACCTAATCATGCTTTATATATTCTTTTCCTTATTTGTCAACAAATGATAAGATGTTCTCCTAAAAAGAGAAGGACATGTTGTGCAGCTTGGGGTTCCAGAGCTGCTAGAGTTGCAATTATCCTGGATTACTATTAAAACGATATGGCCTGCCGGACTTTCACCAACACCTGACAGCCATTGGAAGCTGACAAAACTGATAATTGAGGGCTGTAATAATTTAGAAAATAAATTCTCCTCATCTATTGTTAGATGTCTAGTGAAGCTTAAGCACCTCGAAATAAGGGAATGCAAGATTCTGAGAGAAATCATTGTCACAGAAAATGCAGAAGAAAAGGACAAGATTTTGTTCCGTGAGTTAAACTTCCTGCAGATAGAAAAGCTTCAAAACCTCATTGGATTCTACTCAGGAAATTACAGAATCAAGTTCCCATCATTGAAACAATTGGCTATAGATAACTGCCCAGAGCTGAAGGGGTTCGTGGTAGACTCTACTAGCGTCACTGACACCTCTACTAGCACCACGGACACTGCTCTCTTTGATGACAAGGTAAATTTTCTTTATTTTACTTGCATTTTGGATTTAATTTTGCAAACTTTCATTGCTATTCAATGAACAATGCAGGTTGCATTTCCTAATTTGGAAAGGATGACTATCTCCCTCTTGAAAAACTTGAAGATCCTATGGCGCAAATTCCCTAAGAAGGAAAATTCCTTTGAAAGATTAAACTTCCTGAGCATAGAAGACCTTCAGAACCTGATCGCACTCTGCTCCGAGGGTTATTGTACTGAGTTCTCATACTTGAAGCAGTTGACTATAGAGAAATGCCCAAAGCTGAATGGATTCGTGAAATCAGAATCTATGAAAGAAGCCCTCTTTGATGAGAAGGTTAGTTTTCTTTATCTTACTTGCATTTTGAATTTAATTTTTGGGATTTGAGAACTAATCATTTCTCCTCAATGAACAATGCAGATTGCATTTCCTAAATTGGAACGGTTGAGTATCTCTCACTTTAACAGCTCGATGATCATAGGGAAAAACGTCGCTGAAAATTCCTTTTGCAACTTAAAATCATTGAGAGTTACATGTTGTCAGAATCTATCATTCATTTTTCCATCTAACAATGACATGCTGAGAAAACTCTTGAAGTCACTGGAGAAGTTAGAAATAATTGGTTGCAGTTCAGTAGAAGAGGTGTTTGAACTTGGACAACAGTCAGAGATCACAGCATCAGATGCTCAAATAACCGAATCAGATGCTGAAAACTATCAATTTAAAGAATTGTATATTGATCAGCTACCAAAATTACAGCATGTATGGAAAAAGAATCTCCAAGAAATTGACACTTTTCAGAACTTGGAACCAGTGACAGTTTCCAGATGTGAGGATCTCAACCATCTGTTTCCATTTTCTTTGGCCAAAAGCCTTTTCAAACTTAAAAGGCTGAAAATACGATCCTGCACTAGTCTGGAGGAAATTGTTGCCATGAAATCAGCGGTCGAAGAAGAAGAAGTCAACTTTGAGTTTGATTCCTTTTCCTGCCTTATACTTCACTCCCTGCCAAGACTTAGATGTTTCTACCCAGGGAAACACAAGAAAAGTTGGCCAGCATTAGAAAAGTTCTACTCTTATCATTGTGGTGAAACGAAGATCACAAATAAGCAGGGCCAACCTGAATCCGCAGTTGAACTCCCACTTTTCTCGCTGGAAAAGGTATGATCCTTTTTAGCTTTTGTTAGTACATGTACAATGGTGCTCTATTTGCTTGTTCTTTTCCTAAAATAGAACAAAGACAGAGTTTTGGTCCATTAGAGA